AGGTAGCATAGTGGAGTGGACTTGGGGTGGAGGGTTGTATAACAATGAAAGAATTTTTCTTTTACTTCTCAAAGAGAAGAGCAAACTGGGAGGGGAGAAGAGTGCATAGGGAGAAAAAGGCAACAAGGAATATATGGAAATCCAAAGTCTCTGTAAACATTCATTAAAATGAATAAAAAAAATACTATTTTTCACTGGGTTGGTAGAAGAAGATTACATCTGTGTTTGCTCAGAGATTACCATGTGGGTCCTACGTGTATCTCCTGCCTAGTTCCCCAAGTACAAATCATAGGTATGGATTAATAAATTACAAATTGGTGGGACTTCTGGGTGATGCAATGTAATTAAATGCTAATTATTATGTGTATTAGCCGTTTCAGCTTACTTGTTGTGTGCTGGGTAGAGATCAGTCTTTCTTTTTATGTGCCTATGGGAGATAAAAAATGTGACAAAACTGCATATATAATTTTTATTTTATGGGAAAAATGAATTATCTTTAAGATTATCTTCCAAAGAAAATATGCCAATCAGAACAAATTCACCAACGCTGTCTGCACTGCCCCAGGGACATTGAAGAAGTTCTGAGTTTAAGAAGCCAGTGCTTCGATTCAGAGGGCACTGACTTCAAACATAAACAACAACCTCCTTCAAAAGGTTTACTTTTTATCCTGAAATCCAGTTTAGCGCAACAGCCAACACTGTCTCTTTTTCCAAAGCAATAGTTTTGTGTTTGTAAAACAACAAGAAAGAAATTATCAGACCTTATTGTTTGTTATTTTCCGTGATCATCTAGTTTGTTTCTTACTCAAAGCTACTTTATGTACAAGCTGGAATATTGTTGCATCCTGCAGCGTCCTTCCAGTATTGCCGGCTTGGAACTCATTGGCGCTAGCAATCCATCATGTTGAGGGTCTTTCTTTTATTGCTCGTCTTTTTAACGTAATTGTCCTTCCTGATGTTGTTGTTAATGTGCCATTGAGTCACTTGCGACTCATAACGACCCTATGTATAACAACCCTAAACTCTGCTCTGTCCTATGCCAGTCGCACTCTCTCTGACATTCCCATCTTGATTACCTCAGTCACTGAATCAATCCACCTCATAGAGGGCCTTCCCCTCCAGTGCTGTTCCTCCACCCTCCCAAGCATGATGTCCCTCTCCAAGGACGGGTCCCTCCTTACAACATGTCCAAAGTATGTTAGACAGAGCCTCAGAATCCTAGCCTTCAAGGAACAGCCCAGTTTAACCCTTTCCAGGATGATTCTGTTTGTTTTC